GAAGAGAAGAGAAGAGAAGAGAAGAGAAGAGAAGAGAAGAGAAGAGAAGAGAAGAGAAGAGAAGAGAAGAGTAGAGTAGAGTAGAGTGTGAGGGATCAATAGTGTACACGAGAAAAGGGTGATGTGCGTGAAAGGGGAGGTCGATGGTTTGCCCACTGGTGTGTGAATGTGTTATTTACCTGGACAGGCTGGGGACCAAAAAATGAGACATTCACCTTCTCCTGAGAAATCCCCCAACACAATCTTACATGTAGACATGCATGAGCACATTTATTAATGCACACACAAACACAAGCAGAGGCACATGCGTACATTCTTATACATGCACAGACTTTAGAGAAAACTAAAAAACAAACACAAAGCAGACTGGAGAAGACCTGAAAAAGGGGGACATCAAATGTGAGGACCAGCACAAGTCATGTCATGTTTGTGAACACTTTTTACTGCTTTGTTTGATGAACAGAAATAATGAATCAAAATATTTTAGTAATAGGGGATGTTTCTCTTTACTTGACCTCTGTCAACAGATGTTTCAGAGCAGAGGTCAGCCTCCCTAAAGCGCAAGGATACTTCACTGTCACTGTTTTCACTGAAAAATGTACATTTTAAATATTTATTTGTATTTCTAAAAATCCCCAAATAGCTTTAAATGTCCAAATTCTCTCTGTGTGTTCATGTGCGGTGTATGTGTGTTGCATGGTTTGGATGTCAGTTTCTTTACAGCATCTCTGACAGCCAGCATATGATCCTGAGACAGCATGACAGCTGTCTTCATGCCCCTCTTAACATACACACGCTCATCTGCCCACCCACCCGCACTGAAACACATAGAAACACACACGTGCACAACACAGCAAATGACAGATTTGCCACCTTGTGACAGACCTGCTACATCTACCTGCAACCGTCAGGCCCAAGGATAGAGAGGTGATTGGTTGAGGATAATATGGAGGTTGTGTTTAGTGTGACTCGAGGCTAGACAGGAGACAAATACAGGGATGGACAAGACACCAAAGGGCTGGTGGATAGATGGATGGATGCCAGGGGTCAAGAGAAAATCTAAGTGAAGCTAGAATATGCAGGAAATTAGAAAAGTGGAAGGAAAACACGAGTAATGAGGGAATGAGAAAAAAACAGTTTTACAGATAAATTATGTAAAGGTTTTTGCCAAATTGGCTATTTATGCTGAGGCTGGAGGGAGCGGACTATAAACTGAGCTGAAGCACAAACTGCAACAAAGCAAAAAGCTACATAGGGATAGATTTTACTATATAGTAAAATGCCACATCATCATCGACTTCAAAGCAAACTCATTTGTACAAGGTTACCCCAGGCCAGTTTTCTTAGAGGCAGTTCTAACCCCTAACCCTAGAGGAACAAAGACCCTTAAACTAAAAAGTGCCAAGGACATGCGGTGTGGGGGAGATCAAGGGTGGTGGCATTGTAGTATGCATCGCTGAGGTGCCTCCATTTGAGTACAATTGTAGGCACCATCCTCCTCACTGCACCCTAATCTGATGAGACAAGCCTGACATTCCACACCATACAGCAGAGACGTCTCTGGCTTTCATACATATGTGCTCAGACAAACATATGGAGAAGACGCAGAGGTTAAGGAAACAACAACACAGACAAGAGTGACAGATTGTTAGGGTTAAAGCTGCAAGCAAACATTACCTATTAGTTTGCTTTTCTTGTTGATCTTTCCATCTTTTCCTGCTCACCAATTCCATGTCACGGCTGAGAGAACCCGCGTCTCCACTGTCGATGACAGACGTGTTGTTGGAATCAGCGTTGCGTTATTCATTTACATGCTTCTTTCTTTGCATTTTGCTGTTCTTCTGCTGTTCACGCAGTCCTCCAGCATAGGCACAGCAATCTGTGAAAGACAAAAACTTGATATGTCACATGACAGCGATGAGAAAGTAAAGTCACACAAAGGCTCAAGCAAAGTAAAATATCCAGACTTTGTCATTGTGTTGTAAAGCTATGATGAATATGAAAAGTTGCTTTTATACAGTTATTTTTTAAGTTGAGATGCAGAGGTTACTGATTTAATACTTCTACCTTCACAAAGCCTATAAACATGTGCTTCACACAGAGAACCTTGTGCTGTGCTTGAGGGCGGTCTCACCGTCGGCCTTTTCCCAAAGCAGAGGTGATGTGTCCACTAATGTCAACATCGCAGCCAGGGTCAGAGCACTGTCAAAGACCCTAACCCACAACCTTTTCCAGCTAACACTAACCCAGTACGAGTGCGTGATAATGTGCGTGCCCAAAATGCCAAGTGCTCCCCTGTCCCTTCTCAATATTTCATCTGTTGTCTTGCTTTACCTTGCTTTAGGTAATGGCCCAGTCACATAACCCATTTTTCATATGTTTGCCTGTATTTGTGTATTATACCTTTTAGTGATAGAGGATTTTTGTCTGGTCTGTACTTTACTCTTATTTGCTATTCAAAGTGATAGATTTATAACATGAGCATGCAAAAATGTGGCTTTTGCACACGACAGTGTCTCAGTTGAACTCATTCCAGTTTTACATTAATGATAACTTTGTTAGTTACAAAGAACTAGATTTGCCATCAAATGGGGGTTTTAAGTCAATCAAAAGGAGCTCAGTATGTAAGATGTGGCATAAATAGTGGAATATCATTATTATCCGTGGTTATAATTTACATTTTGTGTCCAAATCGCCACAATTCTCATTGTCTTTTAGATAAAATGCTAAAAAGGATAAAAATAAAGGTGTAGGAATTTGTCAAAATGATGTGCTGGGTATAAATTCCCATTTGAATTAGAATAAGACATTTTTGTCTTTAGTTGCGTTTTTTTTTTTTTTTTTTCCATTATTCAGCAAACTTTATAACCGTGCTTAAATAGCAACTATAAAAGCAGCTTTCCGTGCCGCTTATATATATTCCTTTTATCTCAATACACCAACTTTTCTGGTTATTTCTTGGTCTCAATTAAAGAAATGTATTCAAAAGTCAAAGCTATGCTATATATAAAGTATATGACACAAACATAATATGCCATGTACTACATATTTCCTGAGCATGATCTGTCAAGATAGAACAGGGACACTGTAAATCAGTTACAACACACATGAGACGCTGCACTGAAGGCATGTAGGTGTTGGAGCGTGAAGGGCTTTCCCTGCTAATGCAGATATAATGATGTGACTATGACTATATCAACGTCAGCGTGTGAGAGTCTGTGTATGTTGCCTCTTCTCGGGGACAGTTGTGCTGCTGATCTGCAAGACAATTCTTTGTGACTCACACCACAAGAAAAAGAAAGTTAAAGATAGATAGAGGTAACAAGGGATAGACAGAGGTTGATGAACAAGAGAAGACAACATCTATGTGTTGTTTTGATTGTGATGAGAGGCAAGTGAAGAAGACAGTGAGTTGGCCTACATTCATGTGGCTTAATGTGTGAGGGGAAAACAGAGAGACAGCTCCGTGTCCATCTAATTATTCATCCAAGGAAGGCAGCGGATGTTATGTTGCTAGGTGTGTTTGTGTGTGGGTGCATATGCTGGGGACAGTGAGTATTATGAATAATGTGATTCCCAACCAAACTTAGTAAGATGGGGAGAATATTTATAGATAACCAAAATAAAACAAAAACAAAACATAGTAGTGTTTTGTTTATTTGTTTACATTTACATAAAAAAGCATGGACAAATGGTTGTAATGAAAATAAATATCATGGGAATTAAAATGAATAGATGCATGCTTGAAAAATCGAGGCTACTATTTGTGCTTTAAATTATTATTGTTGTTAAATAACAAAAAAAAATCAATTAAAATGATCACATTTTCAACATGAGAGTTTCATGGATGGTCAGTGAAGGGGTGCTTCAGTTCACTTTTCAGGCTTTTCAAATACACTAGACACAAAAGGCTGAGAACTGGTGATCTAGACCACTTGTGCAAGTGAGTGTGTGTGTCTATATCAGACAATGTCACACACTTTTTTCCCCCAAGGTGACATACTAGATAACATTTTCACTTTTGGACTCTAAAAGTAGTATTAATCTCCATCAAACGTCCCAAAAGACATTCACGTGCACAAACACACACAGACACGGCCCATATCACAACAGTTGTCTCTGGCATTTCAGTGATTTAGAGCATCATCCCTGGTTGCCACCAGCGTGAAGCTGTGATCTTCACATATATGACACCTCAGCTCAACAAGGTGCGCACACACACACACACACACACTGAAAGGATGTCTCTGCTCTGTCTCTCCTGCCATCACATTCTCACTTCCTGATTTAGACAGACAGAGACCAATCCTTTGGGACACAGAAACACTTCTCTTTTGCTCCCTCCCTCCTTCCATGAATCTTTCCCCTTTTCTTGATCTGCTGCTCCCTCTCGTGGGGATGAGGGAAGGCAGGGCTGGAGGTTAGAGAGATGGATGTGGGTGATACACCGATACACAGTCAGTCTCCTGCGGGAATGGTGTGATAGAGAAGAAGAGAGAGGGACAAGGGCAAGTAGAGGGGAAAAAAAGTAGGAAGCTTATTTCTCATGGCTTAAGAAGACAGAGAGGAAACAGAAACACAGGAAAGTGATATCTTGTTTTAGTTTCATGTGTTATTTATACTGTGTTCCAGATATATATTAAATATATATACAGATACAGATATACTGCTTAAACTGGATGAGTTACTATTATCTGTACTAACCCATTAAAAGGAAAATATTCCCAGTAATTCAGCCTGACTTTTTTAAAATTCTGGGATCTCCTTTAACATATGAAATAAAGTTCTGTCCCTGTGCAACTTGAGCTTGTAATGACTAACCACTGCTTGTTAAGGGCTTTGAATGTCCACTTGTTTTTGTCATGTCTATCTCTCCTCTAAAGAGGACAGGCATGTCTCAAGCGCTTTTCCCTAAGGCTTTTTACTTGTTACACAACCTGCTATTGTGAAAAATCTACAGGCAAGTCTGAAAACCCCCCCAGCACTTATTCTTTTTTGTGTGCCACATCTATAAAAAACATCCCTCAAATTTAACCCAGACTAAAGTGCAGTGTAGAGATGAGTAAATACAGTACGTTATATTGCATTTTTTCTTTCCTTTTTTATTTACTGTGAGTTTGAAGATAAAAAATGTTTCCTCGGTTCAAGTTTGGAATTTTTTTCATGACATTCCCCACATGCAATACTACCATACGTTATTTAATTATAATAATTATAAGTTTTTCTTTCAGCTTTTGTATCAGATTCTTACCAATAAATCAAATCTGTTATCTTGTTGGTCTGTCAACTAAAAATACAGTGGCTATCCTAATAGCACTCTTTTTAACTAACACACACCGATGTATGCATCAGGAGCAATCTGGGGTTCAATATCTTGCCCAGAGGCACATTGGCAGTGGACTGGAGGGATTGGAGACTGAGACGTAGCCATTCATGATACAATAAACCACAAATAAAGATTTGAGTGTCGGTTTGACTGGGGTGCATTTTGATAAATGTAGCTTTCTGCCTTCACATGGTTTGGGTGTGTTTTGTATACATCTGTTTGTGTGCAAAATAAAGATATGCTTAAAGAAAATAAATAAACATTAAATGTATTTCTCGCATTTCTATTATCTTCTATTTATTTTGTTACCTTAAAAACTTTGAAATGAAATTAATTAAATGCATTTTGATTTTTGCCTTTAAACCTTGTTGTGATGATAAAGGCTTCCAGAAACATCTATAAATGCATATAAAGGCGAACAGCATAATAATGTGAAGGACAGAGTTTGGATTATTGAAGAGCTTCTAGCTCATCATCCATCCATTCAGCTAGCCCTCGATTTTGTTCTACTTATCCAGTTCAGGATCACACAGGGGGATGGAGCTTATGCCAGCTGACATTGAATGAGAGGGACACCTTGGACCTGTTGTCTTTCCACAGATGGACAGACACCTTTGGCCATTTTAGAATCACCAATTAACCTCATGTGCATATCTTTGTATTGCTGGAGCCACTCAGACAGAGAACCCACAGAGGGGCACAGAAAGGCCACAAACTGGATTCAAAGCCAGAACCTTGCTATGAGGGCTCAGTACTAATTGCTACACCACCATGCTGCCCTGTAGCTTAACAGGACAACCAAAATGAAAACTTTTAAAACTTACAAACATCAATAGTGGGTTGAGGGGCGTTGCTGTTTCTGCAGCAATGAAATGAATTCATAGAACTTTCAGCAATTTCAGATCTATACCTTTTAGACAGTAACAAAAATACATTTTTAAACACACAGAAACAGATCTAGAGTGGAAGATTGTAAAAAAAAAATGATGCTGAAAAAAGAGAGACAACCAGTGAATGACTGACTGAGTAACCACCAGAAAAAGTATAAACTCTGAAGCCTGCAAAATTACAGTACATAAAATCGCTGGTGTAAACAAAGGGGATAGTACATGAAATTACTGGTGTAGGCTACCGTGATACACTGTACCCTTTATTTCCTGCGTGCTTTGAGAGGTGCAACGACACATGGAAAGTTGACTTCTAGAGTGGTGTGAGGTTTCTTTTTGCTTCTCCATGCTTGTTTCTGCTGTCACTGCTGTCAGCAGCCGCTTTAGGTCACTGAGAAGCTGCCACCCCATCTACCTGTGTTTTAGCACATCACACGCTGCACTGCACACACACACACACACACACAGACAAGCACATGCTCATAGGTAGAGTCCACTAGCTGAGGCAGACTGAGGAGCTGCCCAGGAAACAGGGATTTGTTTATGTGGATTGAGTGACCTGGCAAAGGAAGGGAGAAAGAGAGAGGAAAGGTGTGTGGGTGAACATTGATGCCTTTTTGTGATGAAGTAAGAGTGATATGTAAATAATAGATCCCAGAGATGAATTATTGAAGGAGTACATTGATGCTCTCATGGTGTGGAAGCAGGAGCTCATTCATGAAAAAAGGTTTGTGGAGGAAAGATGAAAGGGTGAGGGGGGGAAACAGGGTGTTGCTATGTCAGCTTTCAGTTCC